TTTTTAATTCAGTGGGACAAAGTGGGGGGGCCAACTTCATGCTCATCACAAGTTCTTATTATTTTTAAATATTGAATTCACTTTTATTTATTTAATTAGGTGGTTTTAATTGACTCATTTAAAAGGTTGTTGGAAAATGTAACCAACATCARTTTGCCTGTTGGTTGGAATTATTTTATGACCAAATAGCAGTCACTTATTACTTTATAACATATCAATGTATTCAAAAAGTAAAAGMTGTGATTGAAAGACAAATTGTTTTAACGTCAGAATCTAATATACATTTTTATGCTTATAACAAATTAGTTGATAAAGAACAACTTTTGATTAATTTAATGTATCCATTAAATCTAAAAAGTTATAATGTTTTCCCAAAAAGAACTCAATGTGGGTGGACCTAATCCTCTAAATTACCCAGGTTAATAAATAACAATTTAGTATTAGTAAATAAGTATTTCTAATGCTTACTTCACAAGAACTAAATACATAATATGTATATAATTAAATTTGCTTAATGTAAATCATTTTATTTAAAGGTATCACTGATAGAATTAATTCTAAATAAGAAATGAACAATGTTTGTCATCATTTAAATTGTCCCCGTATAATTTCTATGAAACGAAAGAGGAGTGTACAATGTCAAAAACTACTAGCAAAATTTAGGATTAAAATAAATTGTTGTGTTTAAATTGTATAAAAATGTATTAAAAAACGAATTGTAGGTTCACTTACACCAAATAGAAGATTTTTTTACAATGGTATTTAAAAAAAATAAATACTAATTATAAATTATAATATACGGTTATTGCAAATTATAGTAAATATATAATTTTTTTTAATCATGATACCACCAGCTATAACACTCCATAACATAAAAAGAACAACACAAATGCACAACATTATTCAATTGTAAACAACGTAAACTAAATAATATGCTATAAACAATAATTCGTATAACGGCCGCTRACGAAGAGCTGAGCGCTTGTGTTAATTAGAACTGAAATTCCCTCGTCCCTGCACAATCATAATAATAAAGTGTAGCCGTTATCAACCGTCGTTTCCAGTCCTGTATATCTTACTTGTTATCCATGRTTCAAACCATTCACGGAAAAGTGATTAGGAATTAGTCTCCATCGAGCCGTGGGAATCTTATTATATTGGTTAAGACGTTWTGCAAACATTTTGTTAATATCTAGATAATGAACATAAACGCCGAAACTATATTTAATTTCACCAAAGGCATCATGACCTTGAAGGAAATCAAGTTCCTAAGTTAAATTTATTCATGTGACCCTTTGTAAATCTTAATAATCGTTTTTCTGGCATTTTAAGAAAATTAAACGAACGTGAGTTCTTAGACTTTTCACTCTTGATCGGCAAATCTATGTTAGTTATATCATGGCCACGACTTTCTGTCCCGTTACACAGTTTTGCCCCAAGGTKCACCAATAGATATGCCTCACATAAAAAATACTATTTATAATAAAATATAATCAGTACAATTGGGAAATTTTATAAAAGTAATTATTCAAAAACAAAGATATAAATATACATACTTTTTTTCTTACAGCAACGTAGATGATATTCATAATGTGATTGATGATATAGTAACTTCACAATATTTTTCTCAAGAAATATCAGAGGCCATTTGTAATCCAACTAGATTAATAGCTGATGAAGATAAGGTAAGAAAAATTAMTTAAAGTGCCTATAATTAGGTACTTCAATATCTTTTGTCGGGAAAGTTAATCTTTTGAAAAGTCAAATTTGAAAATTCTATTAGAGTTTTCAATAGTGTCTGGGAAATCAAAAA